ATGAAAAAAAAATCTAAATATGTAACTTTGGTCCACAGAGGTTTAATTAGAAACTGAAGTTGAACTTTAAGTAGGGAGCTTTGTCAACTAAATATTTCATTAAGTATCCTGCCAGCTACTGAAAAAAGGCTTTGTAAAGAAGACATTTCAAAGCTGGACGGATCTCCTTCACGTCAGCTTATTCTATATGATTAGAATCTCGTCGTCCTGGGGTTCATTCAAACAGACTAATATGTTCCACCTTAATGTGAGCGCTAAATAGGACTCCTGCACCGGGTAACAGTTCACATTATGTGCAACGGAGATGATTGCAAACATGCAGCCATCAGCTTTTCTCCCCGTCTGTCTCATCAGTGGAAAACAATCAGCATCACTGTTGATTAGTACGGTTATTGATTGGTCTGCTGCCAGATACACTGCCTTTCCAATCGCTCGTTACCAGGGACAGATACAGCACGTTTTGACCTTGGGAGAGAAAAGGGCATGAGGCTGAATTCTCACCACAGGAGCGCCAGTCTGCCGATAAGATCATTTAAGGAATGTATCTTACGACGGCGAGGCCGGGTCACTTTTCCTGATCTGCCATGTTGTTGACAAGGATGCTCGGTGAGGACGTCTGGGTGGGGGCTCCACGTTTTGCTTCACTGAGACTTAGAGGTAGATCAGTGAGCCCGTGGGTTACTCCGGCACATGAGCTCATAGCTGGTAAATCTATCAGCCAGAGCACGCATTGAGCTAATTGAGTTCCTGTCTTTGTCTGGGACGATGGAGAGGGCGTCCCTCCCTATCAGCTCTGACCAGTCCTAGACACACTGTGGCAGACTGAGGACATGCTTACAGATTCTGTGATGAGTCTTTGTCCTTGTTGTTCTTCCACTTACAAAATATGAGACAAAACACACACACATACACACATATACACACACACACGCATAGAAACTCCAAACATCAGAGCATACTTGTTCAGATGACTGAGAGGGCCTTCCATTGTTTTTTTCTTCCATGTTTTTCAGTGTTGTACAAGTTCAGTTTCATCATCCGCCCAGCAGGACATGTTATCTATGACAAACATGGATTACTACAAGAGCCCTTCTGTTCAAACATCGGATTTGTTTGCAAAATTACTTATATAACCCACTTCTGAGTCGCTACCTAGGTTCGTAGGAGCTAAGAGTAAAAACAATAACCAATGGACACAAGTATAAGGATTTATTGTGAATTTTTTTTAGTTTGGAAATTTCGTTGTGGATCCAATCAAAGTCAAGTCAGTAAGTCAGGGGGGATAGTCAATGTCAGGGTATCCAAAGTAGGCTCTTGCTAGTGTTGGCCAGTGGGACTAACAATCCTACCACAGTATCCGCTGAATGCTGTGGTGGAGGCTCAAAGTTTGACTGGGAGCATCAAGGTTTGACTGGGAGCATCAAGGTTTGACTGGGAGGCCCACCATCAACTGGATCCCTGGTCAGCCTCGTTGGCCACAAGGACCGGAGCATCACTTTTTCCACACATCAAATAGGACCTGAACTGTATTTATGAACAGGTTTATAATCCAGGTTCTAATGCAATATCATCCAATTAGATTCATTCAAAGTGTTGTACAACATTAACATTTAACTTTTCTATTAGGAAAACAACATACTATCGTTTACAGGTAGCTAGCCGTAGTTACTTTCACAATAAATGTTTCATGGTGTCAAAACGTACGATTTTAAGCAATTGTAATTACAATTAAGTGCAACTATATGATCACATTTTACTGGTGAATTCACTTGTTTATAAAGGACACATTACCCTTTAAGGTAAAGTGCATAACTTGTACTTTTCCATGTGTACTGTCTCTTTTTTAAACCATTTTTAACATAAGATTTTAGATTTTAAATAAAATAAATGAAATACATTGTTTTTAAATTACAAAACTGACATAGATTGCAACTTTGCTTCTTTTACCCATCTTAATTAACTTAAAATTACACTTTGCCTTTCTACTGAGTATGGCTTTAGCCTTCAGTCTCGTATAGGGAAGGTGACTCGGTGTTAAAGTCTCACAATGAGGTTGTTTTAGTGATACAGGACGAATAAATGGGAATTTTCAACTCAAACCATCAAATAAATCCTTTTTTTGTAGTACATTGCATTCTTCAAAAACAAACAAAATATGCAATACACTCTTAGTTGCAGCTAGCATGGTCACCTGGCGGGGTTTCCACATACACACTCATTAGGAAGATGCAAAAAAACTAACTTACCAAGACCAGGAGAAGCCAGGACAAATGGAAGTGCTTCTTCGACAGCTTTCCAGCCTCTAAAATGGAATTTTAATCAGTTTATATCATTGACTAAATAGTTTCTTAGTTTTAGCGCAAAACAAGCAGGTGTTCGTACCTTTTCCTCTTGTTTTTATACCTTCAAGAAAAAGAAGCAGTGCCGGTTTTTCAAAATAAAACCCACAATACTTATAAGGTGGAAAGAAATAATGATGGTGGGTTACATTTACTCCCGTTTTTGAAGAAAGGACAGTGTGTGTGGAAGCTCAGTATCAGTTTTATAGGAGACTGAAGGCTGTAAAATGTTCGTTTATGACTGTAATGTTTGCGCACTTTGAGTTGTGGTGAAACCAGGCTGTTGCCAAAACAACTTATTGTCCGTCTATTTGTCAAAGTCCTAAAAGAACATTCTCCAGTGTTTCTAAGACATAAAACTGAACCTCTGCTGCAGCTCTTATTTTTAGCTTATTATCCATACATGATTATAGCTGGTGAAATGTCACCACTATTTGTATTTGTGTCATTCTTGCAGATCGTTGAGGGGAAGGTAATGAGTCAAGCTTTGGAAAACCATCATCATGGCTTCATAGACCAAAGATGCCATTTGCTCAGAGAAGCCTGCTTGATCCATTTAATTAATTGGTTATGATATAAACTGCTTGCTTTCTGTTGGCTTCTGTCCTGGAAAGAAATTGAATTTTGAATGATATAAACGAATTGTGTTGCATGGGGTCCAGCCATTGTGGCTCGTGGCCAAGGCCTGCCGTCATAAATGCGTTCGGCTCCCGCTGGTTAACACGTTGGTCGTCTCTGGGTTTTATTTGTTGAGCTGCTGTCATCTGCTGCGTTTGATTCATGACGTTGCCACATGTAGGATTTCTGTAGATTAGTTTAATTTATCTATCTCATAAAGGGCTGTAGAAAGTAGTATTTTCCAGCTTGTTGAAATTATAAATCATTCCAGCATTTTATTTTTTTTATTTTCTTTTATTTATTTTTATTTTTTACCATATTATTAAACAGTATCAAAGTCATTCTAATAATGTATTAGGCTGAAGTCTTTCACTCTTTTTTGGTTTGTGTCAGTGTGATTATAGCTCCCTCTAATGGCCATTTTAAGTACATAAATGCATCTTGCATTTTACTTGCAATATTTTCCTACGTAGAACCATCAAATTTAGTGTTGTACCTTACAGCTATCATTTCTGAAGTATATAAAATCAAGCCATCCAGGTTGAACCCCTTTTTCATTTTTGTTCCATTAATCATTTTTGTATTTTACAGCTAGAGTGTTTTCAGTAGACTCTCCATCAACTACACAGGTGTTGAACAACCTGCAGCTGCTTATTAATAAATGTCCTTCCCATAGCATCTGTACATCTTCAAGTCAGACTAAATTCAAATGAAATATCTCTGCAACACGGTTCTCCTCTTTTATTTTAGCACTTTTATTCATGCAGTTTCAGATTATTCTGGTCTGACATCTGCAGCTCGGTCTCCTGCTTGATAACGTCCCAAATTCACTTTGAAGGATGATTCTGCAAATCAGGCAGAAGCAAACAGCCAATTTAACCGACCTGCTTTTTAATTTGCGGCAAACAATCTCTGTTTTTGTCGGTACGTTTCTCAGAAATTATAGTTAACGCTGCTGCTTCATGAAAGAATAAAAACAAGAATTGCATTTTGTTGCATTATTATTTTCACATTAAAAAAAGCTGTGCCAGTCAATAAAAACAAACACAATGCATTTTTCAAGCATTAGCATGAATAGTTTTAATTTGGTTGTAGTACATTGATGAAGATCCTCCCTAGAATGTTTGCTGTCGTGAAACTGAGCCGGCAGGATTACCAAACAAGTGGCCGGCTGTTTGTTTTTGTCCCAGGAACACTTTTAATAAAAAGGTCTGCAGACTCATTGAGTGTATCTCCATCCTTCAGGAAGGACGGCCACATTTTATCCATCAGCTCGGCCTCCTGTCATCTAAGCCCGGCGAAATTAAATCAATGTCTGAAACCAGAGCTGAGGCCTCAACTGCACCAACAGAAATAGAAAATCTAGTTTTGCTGTCTGCTAATGACATTAGTGCGTTCCCTAAATGGTCGCCTACCGTCGTCAAAGAGGGACATGCAGGGATATAATTACAGGAGAAACACTCGCATCTCCATTTTCCTGTAAAACACATAGCCTGCTGTAGCGCTTTATGGATTACCCCAACACACACACACACACCCCACACTCCCTTCTGGCAGGTAATGATTCATTTCTCCTCCATATCATGTTATCCCTTGTAATTAAACTTCTCAAGGTGAACACAAGGAGAATCGGAAACCACATGCTATTGACCATCTGAGAAATTCATTATAAGGGCTGCATAAGTGTCATTTGAGCCCTCCTTTCAATTTCCGCCAACACAGGAGATGAAAGACGTATCGGAGGAAGGGGAAAAAAAAACAAAAAACTGGACCTGTCATATTCCATGTATGTGTTAATTTCCATTCGGTGGCCAGACAGCATTGTCAGTGGGTATTGTTGCTACAGTTAAACATCCAGAAAGAGATGTGTGATAACTGCTGTTATCCCGATCTGTAATAATATGAGGTCTCAGCAGTAGTGTCAGGCCTTATTTTTCACTTGTCACTGATTTTTTCCTTAAAGGAAATATAACCAGCTTCCTCCATGGTTCCCTTGGCTGCCTGTTTTTAAACATCTGGTTATTTCATGGGTTCTTCCTGCAGGAGCGACAGGGCTGTACTTCCCTCAGAATGAGTACATTGAGACGATGTACGTGGGCCAGCCGGCAGGAACTCCGGTCCTCCAGGTCCACGCCATGCTGGACAGTGACTCTGAGCGGCCGCATTTCTACCTGTGCTCGACGAGTCCTCTCAGACGGCAGGCCTACAGCTCCTGGTTCAACCTGGACATGAGCACTGGAGTGCTCTCCCTAAACAAAACCCTGGAGGAGAGCGACTTTGCCTTGCTACGTGAGTTGGATACAAGCCTATAGATGGTAATGCATAGCCCCATTTTGGTGCCAGGTATCCTCTGCACGAGAGTAAATTAGTTTCTTGACGTCTATGCTCTGTGCATACTAAAAACGCTTTGGCTCTCGGTTCAGGTTTCTGCCTTCAGGATGATAATGTAATTGCATACAGGCAAAGAAAAGCACAGTCATCAAAAAGAGCACTTTCTGTCTGAGATTAATATGCCTCCTGTTTTTGTTTTGGCTGTGTGTCTCATCAGATCAGAAATCATGGTCTGTGAAGAAGTTGTTCCTGCATGCCATGGTTGTACCCAACTTCACCAAGAAGTCCCAGTGCGGCAACAAGAACTCCGCTCGGATCACGTTGGACTTTGTCAACGCCACGATGCCTCAGTGTGCTCAGACGGATATGAAGGAACTCTGCTTCCCGCACAGAGACACCTCCAACCCACACATCATGGAAAACAGGTTCCCCGGAGCCCTACGGCAGCTCCGACGCCTCACCAGAGTCAACGTCTGCCCCAACCACACCATCACCTACAATGTGGAATCAGGTTAGACACATTAAAGACTATCTTATCCTCTGAAAGCATACAGCCTGCCTTGAACAAATGAAAACTGGAATTCATGAGCAATAAAATGCACCACTGCTCCACTCAGTACAGTCAGTCAGTGTTTTAACTTTTTGCATGATCTGATGTGACCAGTGGCATCATTGATGGAGATTTCAGGGTGGATGTAAGGGATATGTCCCCTGAATTTTGTGCTTTTCTTTACATAATAAAGACATTTCTGCTCTAAATTTATGCAGGATAGGCACAAATTTATGCATAAAACTCACCAGAATGCAGGAACCTGCTGAATGTGTCCCCTTCAACGTTCAAATAAATCTGTTGCTCATGAGCAGCACATTGGGGGAATAAGGTTCGCAAACTTTAGGTGAATAATGCTGTAGAACGTATGACTGAGTCTCCTGTGCTTGTGCTACTGTGTCATTGGTTTAGTATTTTAACTAAGCATGTAGCATGATTCCATTACTTCACATTGTTCAGCAAAAGTAAAAAAAAAAATGTTTTAAGTATACCCATACCATCTCAGTGCACGCTGTAAACAAAAATCCTGTAAAGAAACAAGGATGTAGGAAAAAATACCAAAAAAAAATACATTAAAAAAACAGTGGACTACTGTAACATTTTAAAATAAAATAAAAAGTTTTAAAAAATGAACGCCAAAATATCTGTAAAATATTTTTATTATTTATTTTTTTAATGATATATTCTAGTTTTAAATGAATTTAATACAGTAAAACTGCAGTTTTATGGTCACATTGTAAAAAAAACAAAGTACGATTTGTAAAAATTAAAAAAAAAAAAAAAACAGATTTTTGATGTGGATGCTGTGCACAGTTTGGTCTGTTTCTAGTAAAACAAATAGAAATGTGTAATTTTTTTAGCTATTAGCTGTAATTTGACAAAACAGAAAACATCTGTAAAATAACAGTTGTGAATACTTTCTATTTTTCAATCCTTAGTATACATCATTTTCCATTAAATAACTATAAAATAATGATATTGATGCTGATTAAAATACAGTATAAATCATGTCATTTTACCATCAAACATTGTAAAAGAATAAATTACCATTTGGAAAAATACAGATTTTTGTTCTCGACATTTTTTTTACAGTTTGATTAATCTGTAAATTCATACTTTTTTCTGTAATTTTATCAGTTATTGAATTTGATATAACAAAAAAAAGGAAAATCTGTAAAATAACTCCTTGTAATTCTGTACAAAATTACAGTTAATACCTGTCAAAAATGCATTTTTTAAAATTTATTTTTTTATTACCAGACACATGCACACCTGAGTTTTTGTTGTCCTCTTGTCTGCAGACTCTCCGGCACCGTTCGCTGTGAACGAGAACACCACTGAGCTGGTGGTAACGGCTCCGCTGGACCGCGAGGAGAGCGAATGCTACAGACTACTGCTGGTTTGCACGGTCCGAACAGAGACTCTCATCACCAAGGTGGAAACGTCCCTGGATGTTTATGTCAATGATGAGGATGATAACGCACCGTATGTGAACGGAACAGACACAGCAGACATCATCATCAGCTACAATCGCACAAAGGTGAGAAGATCCGTGTTTTATAAACACAGTGTTGGATAAATGCATCGTCACGTTAAGATTCAAATGTCTCACTTTGACTTTTTTTTTTTTTTTTTAGGGTGGCACTTTTGGAACCCTATTTGTCTTTGACAGGGATCTAACGCCCATCTTTCCCATTGACAAGACTCACAATAAGTACGTGGGGACTTTGCTCAACAATGACCCCTGGATAAAGGACACATTTGACATAAAAGGCACCTTCAGTGAAAAGAAGGCTGCTCTTGGAGGCATTCGAGAAAGTGTGCACGACTACCGTAAGTAATCCAGAGGCTACTGAAGTTGATCTTTTCACAGTTATTACAGAGTTATTTACCTTTTGTCTCGATTTTAGAGCTGGTCCTGAAGAGGAACCTGTATGTGACGGAGAATCGGGCCGTGCAGCTGGACTACCTGGTCAATGACACCACCTATCCTGGTCTGGAGGGAACAGTGCTGCTGCATTTCAACGTCACCATCTTACCGGTTCACATCCGCTTCGCCAACATCACGCATATATTCACACTGACACGCAGGGCTTCTGTTTACGCACAGGTACTCACCAACACTTACGTACAAACCTGTAACTCTCTATTTAATGTGCTGCTATGTTTAATCATAACTTTGTTTATAGAGTCCTTTCTTGTTGTGACTTCAGTGTAAGTGATGGGACCAAAAAAAAAAAAAAAGATGATGACATTTGCACGCTATTCTCCAGCTGAATTTATTTATTATATAAACTTCCAGCCACAAAGGCATTCAGAGCCTGTGACATAATATTTCCCTCATTACAGCCACACAGGCAATAAATAACCCAAGCTATTAATCCAACATAGTTTCCTTTGGCAATGTTTTTTGTTTTTTTTTTCTTCATATGATGGCCAATGACAAAATCCACAGTCTTTCTTTTTTGTGCAAAAATGTGTTCCAAAGTTCAGGGAAAGCTGATATGAGGGATCAGTGGCCTCATATCAGGTCTGAGTCAGAGACACTAAAAAGAAATGTAATTTAAAAAGGGATCATTTTTGTGATTTGCACTTGAATTGTATATCTTTGGAGCCATATGCTCACTTAAAAATACCCAGTTTTATACATTGTAGTCAGTGTTAGTGTTACTTTTTAAAAGCAGAGGATTACTTTACCTATTTACTGTCGTTAGAGAGAAACTCACTGTTACACTATTTTTGTGTTACTCCACATCAGCTGAGATGCATTGTCGTATAATTACCAGTTAGCAATATGCCCACAGGCTAAACCTCATGTATGTCCACATATCAGCACTAATCCTGGAACTAGTCAGACACAAGATCTGCCTTTTGTGCATCTCGATAAAGTTTTACCAGCAAAATAGGTGAAAACCATCTCAAAGAATCACAGAAAGTCGAGAACAAGGCTCCACAACAAGAGAATAAAGGCGACACTGGCAGTAGACTATACTGCCTCAAAATAAAAAATAACTCAAACTATAATTTGACTCCTGAATTCAGGAGTGCTGCTGCGTTACATTACTGCCTTACGGACAAATGTAATGTGATTACAGTGCGTTGCCCCCCAGCACTGATAAAGATGTCAGTCAGACCTGCTAAAATACAGTCTAATATACAATTATATGTAAAGTCAGCAGAGAGTTGAAACTTCTGGATGCTTCATTAACTGCTGCTCAGTCTTTACAGTCCAGGACCTACCTTGATGCCCTTATAGGAAGATAAAAATACATCTTTAATGTTAAACAGCATTAATTCTATTCGATGATAGAAACCAATGCCAAGTTAACATCTTAAAAAATGTAAACTTGATTGACTTACTCTAAACCACACCTCGGACTGCCACCTGCTGGATAACAAAGAACACAATACGATATTAATTGAACTGTATCTCTGTAATACAGTAATCCACAAAGGTGTTTGTACTCCATCATCCTTCCTCTTAAATCACTTATTCAGATTTAGATTTTCAGTCTCTTCTTTCGTCTCCTCTCAGGTTGGCAGAATCTGCGTGGAAAACTGCCTGGAGTTCGATGGCTTCAGCGTCACGTACCGACTCGAGGTGCCCGATAAGAACGTGTCTGCTGACTCTCAGTCCTGCTACACGGCCATCAGCATCACTCAGGCTGCTGACGGGATATGGGGGCTGCTGTACGTGAACGACTCGGAGGCACTGCGAAAGCCCGAATGTCAGGACCTGCAGTACCTGGTGGTAGCTCAGGAGGAACACACCCAGCTGGAGACCAGCACTCAGATCCAAATCATTCTGGATGAAGGTAAATCTGTTACAGCATGAGACCACTTTACAGTCAACACAGAGGGCCTGATTCTTCACTTCATGATCTAATCTTTGATCTGCATCACTGGACATTGAAAGATACAGTGATCACATTCTGCCGTTAGGGAGACTGTTTCACCCTCAGTCCTAACACATGTGCAGACATGTGCAGACTCTCCCACATGTCCTTTAACGTTTTGGTTATGCGTGTCTTTGGCTCTGCTGTACATAGCAAACAAGGCGCGTCAGGAGAGCCAGCAGTTCCTGTCCTGTGCAGAGAACAGGCAGCGAGGAGACTGCGAGTCTGTCCGAGGCCTGGGAGCGACGACGGGGAGATGCCAGTGGAGGCAAGGCACTGAGAAAGGTACATCTGATTTAACAAACACTTCAAAACAAATCAAAGCTGTGTTTAATTGTGATCAAATAACATTTTAACATCACTAATTAATTATGAGATCCTGGAATAATTCCACTACAACCAAATGGGAACGCATTCCCCTCAGTGGTTGTGATGGAACAAATTAAAGGCCCAGATGCTGCATGTGCATCCTTTTCAATAACATCCTTTTTGCAACAGGAAGCAACAAGAGTTGTGGAAAATGTGGTCTTCATTCTGTTAACACAAGCACTAACAACACCCTGATACTGTACTGAGGTTAAAACTGCCACATGTTGCACTGCTAAGGACCAACACAAAACAAGCTAAAACACTTGAATGTGTGTTTTGTTCACATTAGAATACTTGTGCTCTCAGTATCAGTCTATGCTGTTTGTCATCTGGATGTTTTTCTCTTCTTTGTGCTCAGGAATATCTGAAAGTTATTCGACGTGCTCCCCTGACCTGCGGACGTGTCCAGACAGTGTTTGTGATGCAGTGGAAAGCAAAGACATGTCAATATGCCCACAGGACTGCACAAGTAAGAAACAGATGAAACACGTTCTTTGTATTACATATAAATAAAGCTCGCTCTGCATTTTGTAGACTGCATTAACAATTCCTTTTATCTCTGCAGAGGAGCCTGTCATCGGAGGCCACGAACTAGGCTTGAGTGGGAACGGGATCAAGGCCTGTTATGGAACCTGCTACTGCTTCTCTGAGAAATGTTTCTGTGAGAAGGAAGATATTGAGGGTGAGATGTCATAAATGACGCTAAAACTACTGAGAAATGCTTTGAATGCTCCTTTCGTTAAGAATAACAGTAACAGTGTTACAACGTTTTGTCTTCCAGAGGTGATATGCGACGACATGTGTAAGACCATCATTGCCACGGCTCTGCTCCTGTCCTTCATCGTCTCCATCCTGCTGTCCTCTTACTTCATCCATCGTTACCACAAGAACTCACCGAAGCCCCCGATAGCGTCCGCTGAGATGACTTTCCGGCGGCCGGCTCAAGCCTATCCCATCAGCTTCCCTGCCAACAACGTGCGCCGAGGCTCGCAGGAGTCCATCGAGACCGACACCTTTAAAATACCTGTAAGCTTCCCCCAGCCTGTCGCAGACGTTTTTTCCTCTCTGTCTTGTATCGTGGATTATTTGAGGGACCAGAAATGTCATTATGTTCTTTCAACAGGAGGATCCAAAGTGGGAGTTTCCTCGTAAAAACCTTGTACTTGGCAAGACTTTAGGGGAAGGAGAGTTTGGGAAAGTTGTCAAGGCAACAGCATTCAGGCTGAAGGGAAAAGCTGGTTACACCACTGTGGCTGTGAAAATGCTTAAAGGTAAGACAAGCCAGGCGAAGAGCAGACATCCGTGCAAGTAGCGGTGATATATGAGGAGTGAGTGTCAGAGGAGATGAATGGTTTCATCATTACAATCCCCCCTCTTTTTTCTGCGTAACAGAAAATGCTTCACACAGTGAACTGCGTGACCTGCTGTCAGAATTCACTTTGCTGAAGCAAGTCAACCACCCGCACGTCATAAAGATGTATGGAGCGTGCAGCCAGGACGGTAAGCCCTCAGTCCTCCTGCCATCCTCTGACAGCACATGTGTGTTGCACATCGAGTCTAAGTGCTGCATTTCTCTGAATAGGCCCATTGTATCTCATCGTTGAGTATGCCAAGTACGGGTCACTCCGTAATTTCCTGCGCGAGAGCCGGAAAGTTGGCCCGAGCTACATGGGCAGGGATGCCAACCGAAACTCCAGCTACCTGGAGAACCCAGATGACAGAGCTCTCACCATGGGTGACCTGATCTCCTTTGCGTGGCAGATCTCCAGAGGCATGCAGTACCTGGCAGAAATGAAGGTATCTGACAAACTGTTAAAGATTGTGTGAAGAAGTGTGCTTGCTGCTTAAATTTGACATTTAAAGTAGCTGAAATGCAGAACAGAGTTGAAATACAAATACTGAAAGAAATTATTCAAATTAAAGGAAAAGGAAACTGAAGCATCAACATAAGTGTGTTTACTGAACTCAGCTAATTTATCAGTTTAAATGGAAGTATTGACAGTAGTTAATTTAATTTTGGTTCATGCATTGGAAGGATTTGAAGTGTCAGCAGATGTGTTTTGGTGAATATAGTTTCAATTTAACTTGGATTGGAGGAGCCAAAGACATTTCAAGAGTGTGAACTGTGAGCATTTAAACTCCTGTGGTTGTGTAAGCACTCTGACTCACTTTAAATGAAGCGTGTTCGTCCAACAGCTTGTTCACAGAGACCTCGCGGCACGAAATGTCCTCGTAGCTGAAGGGCGGAAGATGAAGATCTCAGACTTTGGCCTCTCCAGAGATGTTTATGAGGAGGACTCATATGTTAAGAGGAGCAAGGTAGAGAAAAAGAACAGAAAAGTATTCATTTTGATGCATTTATAGCAATGTTTGAAACAAAAATTAACAAGTTTTGTCTGTATTTACTAGGGCCGTATCCCTGTTAAATGGATGGCAATCGAGTCCTTGTTTGATCACATTTACACAACACAAAGTGACGTGTGAGTATAATTATATTTCTTCTCCGGTGAGTCAGCTTAGGTCAACATAGAGACCGGAAAGCCGGAGAAGAAACAAATCTGGGTCTTTCCAAAGGTGGCCAAATCTATTTACCAGCATCGATCAATTTCACTAGCTGGATCTGTACAAAATCTGACGTGTACAACAACAATTCATAGGTTTATATGAAATTACTTATATCATCCAGGAAGTGGTTCACCACATAACCCAACCCTAGCAAGCAAACAGCTGTGTTTATTCAGCACTTTATCACACACAGAGGTTATTAGACTGATTTCTAGGCAAAGGTAAAGACAACAACTCAACCGTGTGAAACAAAACTTAGTCGGACAGATTTTTACAGAATATTTAAAGCTGACTGACTAAAACAGCACAAAAAGCCAGAAGATAAGACAAATGAAAACAAGAACTTTTTCATGTAGAAGATATGAAATCCTCCTGAAGTGTTTGGAGCTTCAGTCACCTCATTTCTTTCACCCTGGTGAATTTTTATGCACTACTTTGTTCCTCTGCTGCAATAATTAATGATGGAAATGTCTGTATTTAGGGGGGAAAAAACCTCACATTTCAAGCCCTGCGTGACAGTTCTTAATTTAACAGAACATATATGGATCAATTTGTGTTTTCCACAAAAGATTCAGTTCTTGTATGAGCTCATAGTTCATATTTTGAGAATAAAAGAAAGATGCTACAAAAAATGACCTGCCCCCAGTAACAGGCACTGCTGTATCTATTTGTAATGTGATAGAGGGTCTCAAAGGAAGCCCTTTCCGCTTCTTTCATATTATTTATTTGGGTGAACAAATGCACATGTATTTCCTGTATCCAACAAATGAAATCTTCTCATGAGTCACCGTGTTTCGCAGCTGGTCCTTCGGTGTGCTCTTGTGGGAGATTGTGACCCTGGGAGGAAATCCATACCCAGGTATCGCTCCAGAACGATTATTTAACCTCCTCAAGACCGGCTACAGGATGGAGAGACCAGAGAACTGCTCGGAGGAAATGTGAGCTTCACTCCGTTACTCATCATATCACATCCGCTCTCGCATCTCCTCATTAGGAGAGCCAGAGGTGGAAAATGTGTCTGTTGGGAGGATTTAAATGGCACCTATTTCACCCGCTGTGACACTTGTTCCTCAGGTACAACCTCATGCTCCGATGCTGGAAGCAAGAATCAGACAAGAGGCCGACATTCTCAGACATCAGCAAAGAACTGGAAAAGATGATGGTGAAAAGTCGGGTACGTCGAAGCTATAAAATACATTATAATAAGTTATTCATATTCTTCCACTGGAAAGAAATAAGGAGGGGCTATTAATCAGCCTCTTTCCAGGCATTACTGCTGCAATTTTGACAAAACCTTGGTGATGCATCACTAAGATCTGACAGTCAGGAGTTAGAGGTTTTTATTTTTTTTTGCTTTCCACTCCTCTTAGATTTGCAGCTGGCTCTAAATGAGCAGTATATTATTTCTGCTGGACAACATGTACTACTGGCTTAGCGTCACGTACACACAGACACACGCTGTGTTATATGAGCTCTCAGTCCTCCAACACGCTATACATGCCATAATTAGTGTTTAAAGAGCAATCCTTAAATGTGGCCTTGGGCGGTGTAATCACAGAGCATACCAGTCAGGCTCCTGCTGCTGAAGTGAGGCTAAATATAGAGCATTTACAGAGATGGGAATGCAGACGTCCCACAATACAGCACTGTTATCAACAAGAGGTAGTGGACAAGACAGTCGATGTAATAAGGGAATGTTTCGTGACCAGTATCTGCAGGATCTTGCAGTCCGTGCACGTGCGTGGCCTCTAGCGTGAGTACGTTCGGCCTTAGTGTGCTGTAACTCCTCTGCTCCCTAATCAGCCTAATCACACCGTCATCTGCTCTTGTCAGGATTACCTGGACCTGGCGGCGTCCACACCAGCCGATGCCCTGCTGTACGACGACGCCCTCTCTGAAGAGGACACACCACTAGTGGACTGTAATAACGCCCCTCTCCCTCGAACCCTCCCCTCCACATGGATTGAAAACAAGCTCTATGGTAGAATCTCCCATGCATTTACTCGATTTTAGAAACAGGACACACAACACAAGCTCTCTTTTTTGGCAAGTTGTGATTGGCTTTTCTGTAGTCAAGTGTGTGTGACTGTGATCTAGGCATGCCTTTTGCTGATTAACGCTGACATATCTCCCATTTCATCGTAAATGAGAGGCTCAGTGAGAAAAAAAAAAGAAAAAAGATCTTGTGTCTTGACTTTTTTTTGTTTTATTCGGACCTGCTTCTAATGTACATGAATGCTGACCAAAAATACTACATTTGTAAATACTGAATATACCCTTCATTCTAATTTATATGCTCATGCTTCATCCGCATTTAGTTTGTAAATATCTTAATTTTTTCACTTCATCACATTTCCATTGTCATCATTCCATTATTTGTTTGCACTAAAGGAAACAGTGTGTAACATTTGAAACAGGTCCTCACTGAATCAATCACTCATCGTGGTTTGAATTCCAGATTGTCTTAAATTTCCTGACTTTCTAATGTATATTAGCTATTAATCTATAATGATTCCACAATGCTGAACAGAGAAACAGTAAGGCTTTTGAATGCAACTCTCAGCTGACATTGATTAAAGTTACTAGCATCTGCATTTCTGAACAGTTACCAGAAGGCAGCCCTCAGTAAAAATGTACAGTCATGAGTAACATTATAGCTTTGATACATTACAGAAAAGGCCAATAAATAATAAATTATATTATCATTCATTTTGTGCACCACATGCAAAGTTTACTGCAGCGAGAGTCAAATCAGGACAGGCACTACAGAGTTAGATTTGAAAGCCTTACTGTCTGCACGCTGTTTATCTTTCACTGAGTGCAGAAAAATGATATGTTCTCGTTTTTAGGCATGTCATACCCCAACTGGCCTGAGAAGAGCCCGGTACCGCTCAACAGACATGATGCCACTAATCCAGTCTTTACAAGATATGCCAATGATAGTGTTTATGCAAACTGGATGGCTTTGCCTTCACCCGCAAAAGCTGTGGACAAGCTTGATAGCTAAAGACAAACCGACACTGTAGAAAAGATGACTAATTGGTAGATGTGTATATTTCTGTAAGACTGTACATAAACAATCTGATGCTAAAGTTGGTTCCCTTTTATTTCTGTTGCACGGGTATTTCAACGTTTAAAAACTGGGGTCTTTTTGCTGCAAAACTGGCTGGATCGACATGGACCGTGCTTCATCCAGCTCTTCAGTATGTTAATTATTACCTCACGGGTCATGTTAGCCAAATTGTATCACTGCATGACTATTGTACCAGATTGTATGTCAGTGTCAATGTCTTTTAAGTGCCTGTGCCGCTTCTACAATAGCCTCCAATTGTTAATGTGCGACTGTGAAGATCTTGTTCCAGCCCAGGAATTAAAGGGGACGTCTTTACCATCACCTGTTGTAGATAGCTGGGATTGAGTGGACAAAAGCAAAATGCTGAACTTGTTCTGAAAATATAAAGTTTCTACTTTAGAGGATTGTGCTCCTCAAAATGTCAAAGACCCATTTTTTTGTTTGTTTCTCCCACAAGCTGTTCTTGCCAAAGAAAAGTAATGCAGACATGTTCAGTGAACAGTTTTCATATTTTTGTTCTTGTTTTGTTGTTTTTGTCTTTGTTTTTTTACATGAAAAATATCATCTAGTGAGTGCTAATCCAGTGACAGGACATGAGGCTTAATGTAGATTGTGACCGTGTCCTGTGTCAGATTACAGTTTACATCTTCATTCACTGTAATGGCAATCTTTGTGGAAAACGTCTGATTATGTAAACCAATGAGTGCTATCACTGTTATGTTATTATTTGATTGTGTTCCAATTATTAATAAACATTAAAAATGTGCTGTTTGTCTGCTCCGTCATCTATGAGAATAGATGTGAAAATAGCTTCTGTGTAACGAACGGAAACGAACAATATGCAAATTATGTTTGGTGGTTCACAGAAAGAATTATTTTTATAGCATAGTGATATAATTTTCAGTCTCGGTTCACCTACAGACATAATTAGTTCATTATACACTCCAGCTTTCAGAAATATCTATTTCTAAATTATTATGATGGCCCGAGGAGCATTTCTCTACTAGTTCAGTGTGCAATTTCCATTTTCACCGAGTTTATGACATGAAGCACTGGGGGTAAGTTTGAAGAAAGATGTGTGAAACAGATTGGAAAGATTTCTGAGCTACACTATTGGTTCTGTATCAGGACTGTAGTGTTGTTATGGGAATAAAGTACACAGGCATTTTTGTCACAACTCCCTCCTTCTTGGATTTTGGTCATGCTCTGTACTATCGACAAAATCATTTGAAGCTGTCTTGTGTTGTCAGCCCAGTGTCAACTGGGTGGTATGATACAGTCGGACATGACACAACATTGCAATGCAATACAGTACGATACAGTCTTATACGACACAACACAATATAGTAAGATTTGCTGAAATATGATGCAAGGCAATAAAATGTAACACAATACAACACAATATGATATGATAAATAAAAAACAATATGAAATGATCCACTAAGGCCATTTGTAAAAAGTAACCTATTGTAGTAGACTCCATTGTGGCCAAAATAATATATCAATGTCTGAAAAACAAGAAACAAAAAACAAATTATACGTGTCTAAAGTATTGATTAAAGTAGCTCTGTGATGGACTGGAGGCCCGTCTGTGCTGTTTCAGTGCTCTCCACATAATGTCTGCTGGGATGAGCTCCAGACTCCTGCCACCCTTAATGGAAATTTATAAAGGAAATGAATAAAAGGAAAACTAAAAATAGGATCTCATGGGAACATTTCCTGGTTTATTTTGTGCACCAAAGTGATAACAGATCACATGTTAGAACATTAAGCAAATCATCTATGGTCATTTAGGCCTTAATTCGATTTAGAGTTGTCAGCTTGTGCATCATCACAGATAAGAGATTTGTTTTATTAGTCAGGCCAGGGAAACACACAAGGTACAAGAGTAAGGAGGAAAAACTATCATTTTTGGGGGGGTTAAAGTAAACAAATCTTGATTTTACCAACACATTTATGTTGTAATTAAGCTACTGGAAATGCATTGTACTTTGATCAGTGCCATGCCCAACAACACGACTTTTAAAAACGCATAAATTGGTAAAACAATCCAATAACAGCTGACTAATATCAGCATAAAAGCAGTTGTTTCAGCACCAATAAAGGTCGTTATTATGAATCAGGGGCTTCAGCGTGTTTAATGACGTCACTCAGCAGCAGCGCTCCTATTGGCCAGCTGCGGAGCGGAAGCAGACTACGACCCACTCGCTTCTCTTTGCTCCGTGGCATTTTATAACAGAAGCTGCTGCTGCTGCTGGTTTTACATTAAAACCAAGAGCTGGGAACACAGGCAGGCATGGACAAACACATGAATAGGTGAGTGGCCTTTTTATAAAGACTGTAAGTGATTAGCGGGCTCCTTATCGGGCGTAAAATAACCTGAAAGCGGAGTGAAGCAACGACCGTCGTTAAGCTAGCTGCTGAACCGCGCTACTAGCCGATTTGTCCTTTTCAAAATAAGAGCACACGGTAGGCTTATCAAAGGGGCAGATGAAATCAAATTGCATAATTTTATATAAAGCAAAACGTCCAACTGCTTTTTTTCCGCTTCAATGCATGCAATCTAATTCTACAACAAGTTAAGAACATCTGCTGAAGTACTGCACATGTATAAATCTGTAGTCAGTTTGAATGTGCATACATCTAATTTATCACTTTAAAGTTCTTTTGGGGTATGTATCCATACCATGTTAAAGATTATTGTCCTTTGCAGCTTGTAGGAAGACAAAACTGAGACGGCGTGCACGTGAAAGTTGCGGTTCGTCAGAGTTGCATGTGAATTTCTTCTGCACACAAACAAAGCTGCTGAGCCAGCAGATCTTACAAGTGATCTGCTTTCAAAGTGACCACGCTGCCGAGCTCGCCACTGACATTACAAAAGCCAAGTAGTTCAGAGAAGAGATCAAATTCCTCCCAACTGATGTAGGGGTTTTTTCCTGCATTGAGGGATTTTTGGCATCCTGTCAAAGAGGTTTTATCCAGAGCCAGGGGGAAAATCACCAACTCTCAAATGTTAAGAGTTGAGTAATTCGGGTTTTATGTGCTTTAAAATAACATCGTTGTTTCTCCAGTGGTCAGAAATAACGTTGTAAATATTTTCAAAACTTTTATGAGCTTGATAATAAATTGGCTTTGTTGTATTTTCTTTTACTTGCTGTTTGAAGTCTTATGCTTTTCTTTACAATGTTCTAATTTATTGACTGTATGAAGCTACTTGGCAAAAAAACTGAATCTGAAATAACAAGAAAATACATAGATTTCTCTGTTGTTGTTATTTCTTAGTATTCCCTATAGATTTATCCTGTTGTCTTTACTATATGTGGAGCAATCGTGCCTAATTGAACTTCGTGTAATGTTTGTCTGTCTTCATTAGCAAGATGACGCGCTTTTGGAGAACAATAGACGCCTTGTCAAATATGACTTCTGTTTTCGTTTTTTGTTGTTTTTTTTGTGGAAGGGCGGTGTTGAATTTTGAAAGAAAAAAAAAAGTGCCCAACTGGCATTTCTTAAAGTATATTATTTGTTCCTGGTTCCTCTTTATTGGCCACTCAGTCAGCAAAATGACTCCTTGTTAGTTTTAATGATTTCTGAAAGTGTTATTAATTCTTAACTATTTTCTTGTTGGGCTGACATTTAACAGCTGGATTTCTGTGTAGTGTTCAACATTACACATGTATTCAGGACAAGAAAAATAAGTGTATAGGTGGAACAAAATCAGCTCTGTAGAACTACAAAGACATGGTTTGATAACTACTGTGGGTTGTTTTTTTCACAGATGGGAGCGTTGTGTTCAGCTCAGGGTCTTTGGAGTCAGAGCCCTGCTGGTTTTCATTATAGCCGTCTACAGACTGATTTACACCTGTGAGGCCAGGTGAAAACCAGCGGAGTCAGAACAGAAAAACAGCACTGCTTTGTGAGTTTAGGACTGGAGCTGTGTGACCTTCAAGACACAATTGTGTGTGGTTTATCTGGTGGACAGACTTGAGGTGTAAAAGCTCCGACGCTGAAGCGTTCCCACCCGGCTTTTTGGAAAAGACTTCTGAATGGCTGGCCTTGTGTGAGATGTCTTTAGTCTATGAGTCAGCAACCTTGAACACTGCGGTTGTTTTATATACAATATGGTGTCCTCATGTTGCACACTTTAATTCCACGAGGTGCCTTTGGGTGTCTACAGTGGATGTGCGTTGCTGCTCCACAGTGTTGTGCTTTTATTTTGAAAATGAGACGGTTAATCCAGAAGTCAATGTTGAGCAGCTTGCCGTGGATCTCACCCACCAGTTTTCTCTGTGCTGTTGTTTGGCTCAGAGCTAGCCGCCGTGTGCTAGCTCTCCAGGTGTAGCTGGTTCCTCTTGCCCCTGTTCCTTCAGGTATAAACGGAATCTTTAAAGTGTAAAATCTTTTTAGACGTTGGACTCCTATTGAACAGGTTTAGACAGAGAAAAATAATTGCTTGAATGTGATTGTAACTGAAGGTTGGTTGCTTGAATGGTATCACAGTGTGTTGTGTTATTAAGTGGTATTGTCTGATTATCTGCTGATGTCCAGTGTTTTAATCTGAATGATTTATTTAAAGATCCAGCTGAAGCTTTTTTTTTGTTTCACTGTGGATGTCTGTGTTTTTCACAGGTGATCATTGCACAGGACCAATGTATGAAGACACTGATGGGGCCAAGCAACAAGACCTTCATGCTAAAATGACCTCAACATCCTTCCAGATGTCTAAGAGGATGTGCACGAACATGCTGTAAGTGATGCGAGCAGAGAGGAAAGGGAATGCAGACTTACCAGCTATAGCTTTTATGAGAGCGTGATGCCCAGGCGGGGGTTGCCACTCCAGGGTCGGGTCCGCTGGCTCTTCCTGGGCCTCTTCCTGCTGCTGGTGTTGCTGCTGTTTGCATACCTGCTGGAGTGCACTCCACCAGCAGACGTCAGCCTGGCCCTGCCCGGCATCGCAGCAGACAGCTACGGGAAGGAATACTACCAGGCCCTGCTGCAGGAACAAGAGGAGCGCCACCTGAACCGTGCCGCCAGTCTCAAGCGCCAGATTGCACAGCTCAAACAGGAGCTTCAGGAAATGAGCGAGAAGCTGAAGCTCCTGCAAGATAAGAAGGAGCCTCCGGGGGTGCAGGGTTTGGCCGAGAATAAAGACCAAGAGCCGGGAGATTTGCTGGAGTACCTGCATTCTCAGATCGACAAGGCTGAGGTGAACACAGGAGCGCGCCTGCCAAGCGAGTATGCTCTGGTGCCCTTTGAGAGTTTCACCTCTTCTAAGGTGTACCAGCTGGAAATGGGACTGACGCGGCATCCAGAGGAGAAACCTGTGCGGAAAGACCGCAGGGACGAGCTGGTGGAGGTCATTGAAGCGGCGCTGGACATCATCAACAACCCTGACGAGGAGGACGGAGTGGAGGACGACATGCCGATGCAGCGGCAAACCTACACGGAGGGTCACTTTGCTGAAGGTAAGACCCCGCTAACGAATACACAGCTGTGACTGATGTGTCTGCTCATCGTAGCAATGTTCTTCATGTTGTTAATATTATTTTGGCAGGACTGTACAGGACGGAGCGAGACAAAGGGACGCTTTATGAGCTCTTCTTTGCAAAAGAGGATTCCAGCAGCTTCCGCCACGTCACCCTCTTCAGGCCTTTTGGTCCGTTGATGAAAGTCAGGAGCACATCTGTAGAAACATCAGGAATGATTATTAACATCATAGTGCCGCTGGCGGGCCGAGTAGAAACTTTCTCACAGTTCTTACAAAACTT